CCATTCTCCTCTGACCTCATCAACAAGGCATTTGCGCCCACAGTACTGCCGCTCACTGGATATTTCCTCTTTGTTGGAGCAAACCCTAGAGATGGTTGTGCGTGAAAATCCCAGTAGATCAGCAGTTTCTGAAATACTCAGAGCAGCCCGTCTGGCAGCAACAACCATGCCACGTTCAGAGTCACTTAAATCCCCTTTCTTCCCCATTCTGATGCTCGCTTTGACCTGCAGCAGATCCTCTTCACCATGTCTACATGCCTAAATGCAGTGAGCTGCTGCCCTGTGATTGGCTGATTAGACATTAGTGTTAACGAGCAGTTGGACAGGTGTACCTAATAAAGTGGCCGGTGAGTGTATATAGGCACATGTACCTATTAAAGTGGCCGGTGAGTGTATATAGACACATGTACCTAATAAAGTGGCCGGTGAGTGTATATAGACACATGTACCTAATAAAGTGGCCGGCGAGTGTATATAGACACATGTACCTAATAAAGTGGCCGGTGAGTGTATATAGACACATGTACCTAATAAAGTGGCCGGCGAGTGTATATAGACACATGTACCTAATAAAGTGGCCGGTGAGTGTATATAGACACATGTACCTAATAAAGTGGCCGGCGAGTGTATATAGACACATGTACCTAATAAAGTGGCCGGTGAGTGTATATAGGCACATGTACCTAATAAAGTGGCCGGTGAGTGTATATAGACACATGTACCTAATAAAGTGGCCGGTGAGTGTATATAGGCACATGTACCTAATAAAGTGGCCGGTGAGTGTATATAGGCACATGTACCTAATAAAGTGGCCGGTGAGTGTATATAGACACATGTACCTAATAAAGTGGCCGGTGAGTGTATATAGACACATGTACCTAATAAAGTGGCCGGTGAGTGTATATAGGCACATAATGGCTTTTTCACAGCTTTAGCCCCTGGTTAGGCTTTCTATACAGTAAAATAGATTGCTGGAGGCTGTATCTGTGGGTTAGGGTTAGGTGATGATCTGGTGGATTATGAAAATGAGCCTGTAATGAAACACTCACGCTGCTGTGGGTCTCCAGTATAGAGCAGCAGATCCTCCTGTTGTGCTGTGCATGTTCAGGTCTCCAGTGTACAGTGATGTTGTGTGCAGTAAAGAAAGCTCCAGACAGCAGCTCAGGAGGAGTTTAATGAGTACAGATACAGCTGGATCCCCACACAATAACTTAGTCTGAAAGTGCCTCAACACGTGTTCACCAGCGGGGTTATTCTCACATGTACAGTGTCAGCATATGAGAGCATGTCATCGTATCTACAGCACAGTGTGCGCGTCACTAATGGACTTGTACAGTCAGAAGATATTTTGAAGAATGTTCTGTCACCACTGACCTCCACAGTATGCTTATCCCCTGTGCATGTCAGTGGTGACAGCTCTCAGCTCTCTCTATAGTACAGTAAAGTGTCTGCGTCTGCATGAAGCGAGCGCCGGCTCCTCAGGCCTGCAGGCTCATCCTCTCGGGACGCTCCAGGTTTGAACGAAACGTCTCCAGGAATCTGGAGGCCAGCTCGTCGTCCACCAGGCGCGCGTCGCTGGACAGCGTGACCGTGAGTGTGTGCTGCGTCTGCAGTGTGTCCTCCGCCGACAGCGACAGCTCCGTCCTGCTGCCGCCCACCGCTAATATACAGGCCTGCGGAGGGTTGATGACGGCGCTGAACTCACTGATGCCGAACATGCCCAGATTCGACACGCTGCAACACACACACACACACACACACACACACACACACACAGAATCAGCAGAACTGAATGTGCAGTGTTTGTCCACTAGGGGGAGCTGTAATCTGTGTAACTGCATCAAATCTACATGTATTGTTCACTCAGTGCGCCACCTAGAGGAGAAACACTGAACTGGTGAAAATTAACCTTGAAGATTATTAAAATAACTGATATTATGGTGACACTTAATAAATACAGCATAATATTAGATGATAAGCTAGGTTATACATTTAATGTTTGCAATGTGTTTAATCCCTGCTCTGCTGCAGACTCACACACACACAATGCAGCACACATGATCTAGGGCAGGCATGTCCAGACTCGGTCCTGGAGGGCCGGTTTCCTGCAAAGCTTGGTTCCATCCCCAATCAGACACACCTGGGCTAGCTAATCAAGCTCTTACTAGGCAGTCTAGAAACATCCATGCAGGTGTGTGGAGGCAAGTTGGAGCTTAAATCTGCAGGACACCGGCCCTCCAGCACAGAGTTTGGACACCCCTGATCTAGGTAAACCATATGTGGATAATGACGGAGCATTTAATGGCGTTTAACTCTTCATCACCACCTACTGAATTTCACTAATGAGGCGATCGAGAGCGCCGGTGCTGCAGTTGCCATTCAGTGAACAGTTCAGGGTTTCAGTCAGGACTTCATTATTTTATCAGAACAATCATTTGATCATCTGGCCAGTTCAGGAACTTTAATCATGTAAATATAAATAATGAGTTAAACACTACTGACTTTAATCATGTGTCCACATCCAGACCGTCTAATTGTGGGATCAAGTGTAATAAACTGATTCAGGATCGTAATGTTGTCATAGTTAAAATCATATGCAGTAACACATAAAAAACAAACAGTAATGTGTAACAATAACCTGAATTACCAGAGTTAATCATGTAAAATTAAGATCGATTCAAAAACTACTTTATTTTTACTAAACTGTAGCAACTATATATATATATATATATATATATATATATATGAGCAATATCACACGAGTAGCAGTACGATATGGCTGTATATCGCCACTGGTGGGAGGCGTGCGTGCTTAGTGCCCACACCAGTGCCGATATACAGCCATATCGCACTGCTACTCATGTGATATTGCGTTTATACAACAGTTTGACGACATAATTGTGTATATAAAAACTAAATCAAACATGAAGAGTCTTAAAACCCCTTTTGTATGAGGAACTACTTTCTTCCGCCTTGGATTCAAATCATAAGCTGACAGTGAAACAGCTGAGCAAGCATCTTTTACACTGTAGATCTGTAGTGTCTGCTTTCTGCTGGCTGTATGTGGGCGGAGTAATACACAAACCGTAAAGAGGCTGTTGGAGTTCTGATATTGCAGAATATCGCACAGCTTTCAGCCAATCAGATTTGAGAACCAGACAGAACTGTTGTATATATATATATATTTTTTTTTATTATTATTTTTATTATTAACAGTTAATTTGTCTGTATTACTATATGTTGTAATTATAATTGCCAGCACTTTATGGTTTAAAAACAATATTTTACTCACTATAAATTACTCCAGTGTTTAATGTGGGAAATCATTAACAAAAAAGTTATTAGAAATAAATGCTATTCAATCACTGGAGTACAAGATTAATATAGTGTTCTACATTCATTAAAAGATTTGCATGACATATAAAGATCTATTATATATATATTAACTGGCTCTTTTCCCTTCATTATAATGAATCCTTTATATAAATGAAACCTGTTCAATGTAGATGGTGTATATATCTCTGAAAACAGCAGTCAGCAAATCAATATCTGCTATACTGACTCTGACATATAATAATGACGACTGATGGAAAACTCTTCACACTGTTATATTGAATGGCGATCAGAAACATTGATCCCCATTGCCATATTTGAGAAATAGTAAACACTATTGTTTATTGTGTACGATATTTATTAACAATATACATATATAAATATATTGATGATGATGTCTGAGACTGCATTAATAACATTGACATCAGCTCGTAACCACATATGGTTTGCCTAGATTGTGTGTGCCTGAAACGTGTGTGGCTCTGCCTGAGTGTTTGCTGCACTGGCAGAGTTTGACCAGCAGGTGGAGCCAGCAGCTGCTCTGAACACTTTGGAACGGTAAATCATTGATGAAGTGATCAGTTTCATTGATCAAAGCTGTTATTAAAGGAAACAAAAATCATCCTGTCATCATCTACACTCTGTTCACTTCTCCACAGCTGTTTGAGTTGCTTTTGTTGATGTTGAAGACAGAAGAAGATATTTTGAAGAATGCTGGAGACCTGTAACCATCGACTTCTACAGTAAGTGTTTTTCTCACTACAGACGTCAGTAGATTCAGCTTCCCTATAATATCTGCTTCAGTGTTCAACAGAGGAGACACACTGCTGACGGTGCAGAAGCTCCTGAGTAAGTGAATACTGATATGTGGTGAACGACACCTGTGCAGACGCTCACCTGAAGGATCCTCCCTGATACTCCTCTGGCAGGAGTTTACCATCCCGAGCCTTCTGCGCCAGAGCCTACACACACACACACACACACACAGGAGGTCAGCACACAGCAATACGACTGTCTGAGGTATTGGGCGTGGCTAACACACTTAACCACACCCCTCCAGCTGTCAGTTTTGTCATCGCTATGACAACAAAATGGTGAGGAGGAGGAGTCTGTTAGGCTGTAATAACTCCCCAAACCCTTCTGCCATCCCTCTGAATGACATGCCCACTTTACTACAGCCAATCAGCTAGCAGTAGAACAAACAAGCCACGCCCACTGTTTACTGATTAAATATCGTGTTTCTATGGGAACTGCAGCACAATACGGGTAAACCGCAGCTCCCGGCTCATGCAGACTATAGGATTGTGACGTAAAGCAGATGCTGGACCTCCTCACTCCTCTGTGTGTGTTATTGAGAGTGAGGAGCACATGTGTTCGGGCCTGTTCTTCACCTTAGCGGTGCTGGAGATCTCCTGCAGGCCTTTATCCGCCGCGTCTCTGATGATGGGCGTGATCAGGCCTCGATCCGTCGCCACCGCCATCGAGATGTGGATGAAGCCCAGCGGCTGCGGCCCGTCAGCAGACCACGACACGTTCACTGCTGGCAGCTCCTGCACACACACACACACACACACACACACACTGTTTATTAGAGATGACCCATGCACATCAAGTCCCGCCTCCAAAACAAGCTCCTCCCTCAAACTCAGGCAGTAATCAGCCAGCACACGGCTCTGATCATCTCCTCAACAGACTATAACCACACAGCTCACCCTGCCTGAGGAGCTCTAGTGTGGAGCACACATGCAGTATAGATCAGAGTAGTACACTATGTAGGAAACAGCTGCAGTGTGCACTTACTCTGAGGGACACAGCGGCGGCCTTGATGATGAAGTCATTGACGGACACCTTGATGTTCTCTGAGGGAAACAAACGACATCAGGAACTCAGCGGGGGTGTAGACATGCTGTAGAGGTGGTGTAGTGGTGGTGCAGTGGTTGTTTTGTGGTGGTTGTGCTGCCTCTACAGCCTCTAGATGCTGCTGATGTCGCAGTGTATGCAGGTGTGTGTGTGTGTGTGTATGTGTGTGTGTGTGTGTGTGTGTGCGTGAGCGCTCACCCTCCGCCAGCCGCTTGCGCACCCTCATGACGCCGCTGATGTCGCAGTGTATGCAGGCGTATGTGTGTGGGATGGTGGTCTTGGACTGTGTGAGTCTCTGAGCGATGATCCTCCTCACACTGGATGCTGGGATCTCCGTGAAGGTGCCCTGCGCACGCACACACACACACACACACACACACACACACACACACACACACACACACAGTGTTGAGAAGGGTCGCTCAGCAGGTCAGCATCTCAGCAGTGTGAGGCTCACCGGTGCGGCGGAGCGTGCTGGAGCAGAGGCGGGTGGGTGTGGGGGGCGGGCGGCAGGTGGAGCGGCAGGTGGAGCTGATGGAGCAGGAGCAGCCGCTGCTGGAGGAGCTGCAGACGCTTTACTCAGCAGCTTCAGAGCGTCTCTGCAGACACCAGCAGAGGAACAGAGTCAGATAACAGCTTATTCTCTGCAGAACACACACACACACACACTTATACACATACACACACACACACACTCTTCTGTGCTTAGACACGGTTTATTTCTCCCGTAGAACTGGTCACACACACCAGACGCCTCACAGCCAGTCCTTACATTGAGTTTCACATGTTGTTAAGTGTGTGAGAGTGTGTGTGTGTGTGTGTGTGTGTGTGTGTGTGTGTGTGATTCTTCAGTGGGTCTGATGTATTAATGGGTGCCAGTTTCTTAGTTTCTATGGACCCGGAGGAGGGAAGGCACATCGCCATGGTAACGGCTGTCACTAATGGGATCTGCTGTGTGTGTGTGTGTGTGTGTGTGTGTGTGTGTGTGTGTGAGAGAGACATATTTATTCTGAGAAAACCCACTGAACTCTGAAGCAGCTCTGTCACCATGTGTGTGTGTGTGTGTGTGTGTGTGTGTGTGTGTGTGTGTGTGTGTGTGTGTTACTCACTCTTTAGTGATGATCCCTCGGGGGCCGCTAGCTGTAGCCTGATGAGGGTCCAGACCGTGAGTGTCCAGGATGTGTCTGGCAGCAGGACTCAAGCGCAGTCTGACCAACACAAACACACCGGTCAGCTACACTAATGCACACACACACACACACACACACACACAGACACACACACACACTCATCAAACACACTCGCACAGACATCAGACACAAAGGAGTAGGAACTGACTGTCTGAGTGCTGGAGCTGCTGGAGGGGCGGAGCCTGCAGTGGGTGGAGCAGCAGTGGGCGGGGCAGCAGTGGGCGGAGTCACAGACTCCAGTGCTGGAATCTCCACCTGCTTCCAGTCTTCACCTTCACTGACCATCAGAGCGATGAGGGTCCCGAGACGCACACCACGACTGCCCTCCTGCACCTGAACACACACACACACACACTGTCATGAGTGCAGCAGTGGTGTTCTTCACTATAATGACTGTCAGTGCCACATTAATATGCAATATTGAGGCAACTCAACACCTCAGCGTGTCAGAATATGAGTCCTTTCCATGTTAAAACAGGTTTATTTTGGTAATCTTCAACCTGAAGTGTTGTTTCCATAGCAACTGCATTAATATCATTAACCACGCCCTCTTGCTGTTAGTTGGCTATGAGTGACGGATGTGCAAAAGTAGGCCCCGCCCCCTACTCAATAGTCCATCTCAGTTGGAGGAGCAGCAGAGCACTGAAGCCTCAGAACACTCGGCTCCTGAGGATGTGAGCGTCATTGGAGTGTGATGTTGTGTTTAATGCAGACACACACACACACACACACACACACTGATGTCTCTGGAACATGTCTGTGCCGTCAGCAGCATGTTATTCCCTCAGTATACACACAGAGCGAGCGCTCGTCAGCTGATGGTGTTCCTGCAGCTCCAGGGTCTCACCAGTATTCGGGCCAGAACTCCGTCTTCATTGGACTCCATGACGACCACAGCTTTATCCGTCTCGATCTCACAGAGGGCATCGCCAGCCGCCACATCCTCACCTGACCAATCACAGGACAGAGCACACATCACCTGACCAATCACACACAGAGCACACATCACCTGACCAATCACACACAGAGCACACATCACCTGACCAATCACACACAGAGCACACATCACCTGACCAATCACACACAGAACACACATCACCTGACCAATCACACATCAGCATACAGATTTGACTGCTGTCAGACCCACACACACTCTCTCTCTGGCTGTAAGTCTGTCAAACACACACACACCTTCCTTCTTAAGCCACTTGACGATGTTTCCCTCCTCCATGGTGGGCGAGAGAGCCGGCATCTGCACCTTCAGCGGACACACACCTGCTGTAGACACCACACACACACACACACACACACACACACACACACACACACCAAGATAAACACCTTCATATGTGCAAACATCTGCAGGACTGCGCGTGTGTGTTTGTATGTGTGTGATAAAGTGTGTTATGTCAGTGTTATGACAGTGTCATGAGTGTGTTGTGAGCGGTGTGTGTCCCCGGGCTCACCGCGGGCTCTGCAGCTCTGGTACAGCGGTCTCGCGGCGCTCCTGCTCCAGCCTGCGGGCCTCGGGCTCTCCCTCGGCGGCCTGAAGGAGCTCTGCAGCCCGGCGGGAGTCTGTGTCAGCGCCCGCAGAGCCGTGAAGAGAGTCCTCCGGCCGAGTCTCATGGAGGCCGCCATCTCTGTGTCCTTCCTCTGCGCGGCGCTGCTTCACTTCCGCTGCACGCCGGATATCAATCTGCGGGAGCAGAGAAATGACGCACAGCAGGCGAAAATATGATGTTGTTCACCAGTGGAGCAAATCTGTTATATAGGTTGCAGCATCGCTTTGTTTTTCCACTGGGTGTAGTTTATTAAATAGTGCGAATATAAACTGAAAAAGCAGAACATATTTATAAGTCTAGACTCTGCATCCTGCAGGGGGCGGCAGAGCGGCGACTGGGTGAAGAAGAAGAAGAACACGCGCGTGACGTGAGTTGATGAACCCGGAAAAGGGAGAGGAGAAGCTGAAGCGGAGACTCATAAACAAACACGCCGAGCAGAAAAGCAGCGAATAACCCGAGAGAAACCGCAGCAGACAGCGACATGGACGGTAGGAGAGCCTGCTCACGGCGGAGACAGTCAACCTGTGTAGCCTGAGCTCCGTCAGAGCGGCTGTTGAGCCGTAATGGAGGATGAGCGGGAGTGTTATTGTTATTATAGTGGAGCTGATGGTGATGTGTGCAGTCATTACTCCTCAGCACTCCTGCTGTGTTGGTGTGAGCAGTGTCAGGGCTGTAGTGTACACATGAGTATCTGTTATGATCGAGTGAGTTATTGATTATTGATGATGATTGTTGTGTTTCTCTCTCACAGACACACTGTTCCAGCTCAAGGTGAGCATCTCTCTCTCTCTCTCTCTCTCTCTCTCTCTCTCTCTCTCTCTCTCTCTCTCTCTATATATATATATATATATGAATGAATATGTTTTGGTCTCTCTCTCTCTCCTCATGATAATCTCCTCCTCTTCTCCTCCTCCAGTTCACCTCGAAGCAGCTGGAGAGACTCGCCAAGAAGGCCGAGAAAGACTCTAAATCTGAGCAGGCCAAAGTCAAGAAGGTACAGCAGCTACATCAGCCTGGGTGTGGCCATCTGATGACGTCATCGCCGGTGTGTGGCGGTGACGTCACTGGCCAGAGTTTCAGAAAACTTTTTCTTTAAGTAGGATGGTGTTGTTGCCGTGGCGACCAGCACTACAGGGATAACCTGTTCCAGAGCAGGCTTTATTCTGGGTTAAACCGGTTTACAGGTACAGCACAGTGCACAGTAGCACAATCGCCTCTCAGAAGGAAGGTCTCTGGTTTGAGCCTCGGCTGGGTCAGGTAGTGTTTCTGTGTGGAGTTTGCATGTTCTCCCCGTGTTGGCGTGGGTTTCCTCCGGGTGCTCCGGTTTCCCCCACAGTCCAAACACATGCGCTATAGGGGAACTGATCAACTACACTGTCCGTAGTGAATGAGTGTGAATGTTTCCCAGTGTTGGGTTTCAGCTGGAAGGGCATCCTCTGCGTAAAACATAGGCTGGAATAGTTGGCGGTCCATTCCGCTGTGGCGACCCCTGATGAGAAAGGGACTAAGCTGAAGGAGAATAAATGAATGATTGAAATACATTGATTTAGTGTTTTAAAATGAAGTCACCACTCTTAAGTAGGCGGGGTTATTATTATTAAGTAGGCGGGGTTGTTATTAAGTAGGCGGGGTTATTATTATTAAGTAGGCGGGTTATTATTATTAAGTAGGCGGGGTTGTTATTAAGTCTGGGTTGTTATTAAGTAGGCGGGGTTGTTATTAAGTAGGCAGGGTTGTTATTAAGTAGGCGGGGTTGTTATTAAGTAGGCAGGGTTGTTATTAAGTAGGCGGGGTTGTTATTAAGTAGGCGGGGTTGTTATTAAGTCTGGGTTGTTATTAAGTAGGCGGGGTTGTTATTAAGTAGGCAGGGTTGTTATTAAGTAGGCGGGGTTGTTATTAAGTCTGGGTTGTTATTAAGTAGGCGGGGTTGTTATTAGGTCTGGGTTGTTATTAAGTAGGCGGGGTTGTTATTAAGTAGGCAGGGTTGTTATTAAGTAGGCGGGGTTGTTATTAAGTAGGCGGGGTTGTTATTAAGTCTGGGTTGTTATTAAGTAGGCGGGGTTGTTATTAAGTAGGCAGGGTTGTTATTAAGTAGGCGGGGTTGTTATTAAGTCTGGGTTGTTATTAAGTAGGCGGGGTTGTTATTAAGTCTGGGTTGTTATTAAGTAGGCGGGGTTGTTATTAAGTAGGCAGGGTTGTTATTAAGTAGGCGGGGTTGTTATTAAGTCTGGGTTGTTATTAAGTAGGCGGGGTTGTTATTAAGTAGGCAGGGTTGTTATTAAGTAGGCGGGGTTGTTATTAAGTCTGGGTTGTTATTAAGTAGGCGGGGTTGTTATTAAGTAGGCGGGGTTTTTATTAAGTAGGCAGGGCTGTTATTAAGTAGGCGGGGTTGTTATTAAGTAGGCGGGGTTGTTAAGTCTGGGTTGTTATTAAGTCTGGGTTGTTATTAAGTAGGCGGGGTTGTTATTAAGTAGGCAGGGTTGTTATTAAGTAGGCGGGGTTGTTATTAAGTAGGCGGGGTTGTTATTAGGTCTGGGTTGTTATTAAGTAGGCGGGGTTGTTATTAAGTAGGCAGGGTTGTTATTAAGTAGGCGGGGTTGTTATTAAGTAGGCGGGGTTGTTATTAAGTAGGCGGGGTTGTTATTAAGTAGGCAGGGTTGTTATTAAGTAGGCGGGGTTGTTATTAAGTCTGGGTTGTTATTAAGTAGGCGGGGTTGTTATTAAGTAGGCGGGGTTGTTAAGTCTGGGTTGTTATTAAGTCTGGGTTGTTATTAAGTAGGCGGGGTTGTTATTAAGTAGGCAGGGTTGTTATTAAGTAGGCGGGGTTGTTATTAAGTAGGCGGGGTTGTTATTAGGTCTGGGTTGTTATTAAGTAGGCGGGGTTGTTATTAAGTAGGCAGGGTTGTTATTAAGTAGGCGGGGTTGTTATTAAGTAGGCGGGGTTGTTATTAAGTCTGGGTTGTTAAGTAGGCGGGGTTGTTATTAAGTAGGCAGGGTTGTTATTAAGTAGGCGGGGTTGTTATTAAGTCTGGGTTGTTATTAAGTAGGCGGGGTTGTTATTAAGTCTGGGTTGTTATTAAGTAGGCGGGGTTGTTATTAAGTAGGCAGGGTTGTTATTAAGTAGGCGGGGTTGTTATTAAGTCTGGGTTGTTATTAAGTAGGCGGGGTTGTTATTAAGTAGGCAGGGTTGTTATTAAGTAGGCGGGGTTGTTATTAAGTCTGGGTTGTTATTAAGTAGGCGGGGTTTTTATTAAGTAGGCAGGGCTGTTATTAAGTAGGCGGGGTTGTTATTAAGTAGGCGGGGTTGTTAAGTCTGGGTTGTTATTAAGTCTGGGTTGTTATTAAGTAGGCGGGGTTGTTATTAAGTAGGCAGGGTTGTTATTAAGTAGGCGGGGTTGTTATTAAGTCTGGGTTGTTATTAAGTAGGCGGGGTTGTTATTAAGTCTGGGTTGTTATTAAGTAGGCGGGGTTGTTATTAAGTAGGCAGGGTTGTTATTAAGTAGGCGGGGTTGTTATTAAGTCTGGGTTGTTATTAAGTAGGCGGGGTTGTTATTAAGTAGGCAGGGTTGTTATTAAGTAGGCGGGGTTGTTATTAAGTCTGGGTTGTTATTAAGTAGGCGGGGTTGTTATTAAGTCTGGGTTGTTATTAAGTAGGCGGGGTTGTTATTAAGTAGGCAGGGTTGTTATTAAGTAGGCGGGGTTGTTATTAAGTTGGCAGGGTTGTTATTAAGTAGGCGGGGTTGTTATTAAGTAGGCGGGGTTATTAAGTTGGCAGGGTTGTTATTAAGTAGGCAGGGTTGTTATTAAGTAGGCGGGGTTGTTATTATTGTGTAGGCGGGGTTATTATTGTGTAGGCGGGGTTGTTGTTAAGTAGGCGGGGTTGTTATTAAGTTGGCGGGGTTGTTATTATTGTGTAGGCGGGGTTGTTGTTAAGTAGGCGGGGTTGTTATTATTGTGTAGGCGGGGTTGTTGTTAAGTAGGCGGGGTTGTTATTATTGTGTAGGCGGGGTTGTTGTTAAGTAGGCGGGGTTGTTATTATTGTGTAGGCGGGGTTGTTGTTAAGTAGGCGGGGTTGTTATTATTGTGTAGGCGGGGTTGTTGTTAAGTTGGCGGGGTTATTAAGTTGGCAGGGTTGTTATTAAGTAGGCAGGGTTGTTATTAAGTAGGCGGGGTTATTAAGTTGGCAGGGTTGTTATTAAGTAGGCAGGGTTGTTATTAAGTAGGCGGGGTTGTTATTATTGTGTAGGCGGGGTTATTATTGTGTAGGCGGGGTTGTTGTTAAGTAGGCGGGGTTGTTATTAAGTTGGCGGGGTTGTTATTATTGTGTAGGCGGGGTTGTTGTTAAGTAGGCGGGGTTGTTATTATTGTGTAGGCGGGGTTGTTGTTAAGTAGGCGGGGTTGTTATTATTGTGTAGGCGGGGTTGTTGTTAAGTAGGCGGGGTTGTTATTATTGTGTAGGCGGGGTTGTTGTTAAGTAGGCGGGGTTGTTATTATTGTGTAGGCGGGGTTGTTGTTAAGTTGGCGGGGTTGTTATCTGTAGTTTAATCACGGTGCACTGTCAGATGTGACCCATCCGTGTTCATCAGTCAGACACTGATGGAAAACACCCATAACAGGGCTCTTTAATAGTCAATGTTGGTGCAGTAGATGTCACTGATGATGATGATGTTGATGATGATGTCACGGTTGTTTCTCTGGTGTGATCACTCACACACACACACACACACAGGCTCTGCAGCAGAAGAATGTGGAGTGTGCGCGTGTGTATGCAGAGAACGCCATCCGCAAGAAGAACGAGGGACTGAACTGGCTGCGGATGGCGTCTCGAGTGGACGCGGTGGCCTCTAAAGTGCAGACGGCGCTCACGATGAAGGGCGTGGCCAAGAACATGACGCAGGTCACCAAAGCGCTGGACAAGGCCCTGAGCTCCATGGACCTGCAGAAGGTGTCGGCCGTCATGGACAAGTTCGAGACGCAGGTGCAGAATCTGGACGTACACACCTCGGTGAGCAGCCCCACACGCCCTCTCTCTCTCTGTGTGTGTGTGCGTGTGTGTTTATCTGACGAGTGTGTGTGTGTGTGTTTAGGTGATGGAGGACTCGATGAGCTCCGCCACCACCCTCAGCACGCCGCAGCAGCAGGTGGATGACCTGATCCTGCAGATCGCGGAGGAGAGCGGCCTGGAGGTGGAGGACCAGCTGAGTCAGCTGCCGGCCGGAGCCTCCGCCCTGGGGGAGACATCTGCACGCGCACAGGAGAAGGAGGACCAGCTGAGCCGACGGTACACACACCTGACCATACACACACACCTGACCAAACACACACACCTGACCAAACACACACACACACACACTCCTCCAGTGTTCTCAAACAGTGCCATGTGCGTACAGTCTGTGTGTCCACCTGTGTGTGCTGCAGGCTGTGTTCCAGTCCACTTCTACACACACTGGTGAACTTCCCTTATGTCTGCTTAAAGCATCTACAAACTCCCAAAACTGACCTGAGATCAGGCGTAAACTGAGAGCTGTGCAGTGATCCTCCACCAGAGGGCGCTCAGTGACGCCGCGTCACTCCTGTATATTCATTCACTCACTTTCCTTCATGGTCGGCACAGTGGAATGAACCGCCAGCATATGTTTTACACAGCGGCTGCCCTTTCAGCTGCAACCCAGTACTGGGAAACATCCACACACACTCATACACTACAGCCAGTTTAGTTCATCAGTATAGCGCATGTGTTTGGACTGTGGGGGAAACCGGAGCACCCGGAGGAAACCCACACCAACACGGGGAGAACATGCAAACTCCACACAGAAACACCAACTGACCCAGCCGAGACTCAAACCAGTGTGCTGCCCCATATTAGCCAGATCGCCCTCTAGTGGAGAAACACTCATGACGTGACTTAATGACGTGACCAAGTTGGATTCTGGAGTCTGGTGATCTCTGCAGGCCACACACACACACACACTCTGAACACACTGGAGACCGTCACACACTCATAAACACTGCAGCACTCACAACAACACACACACTCTGACACTAATGTGTGTGTGAGAGTGTGTGTAGTGTATGGGTGTGTCTGAGAGAAAGAATGTGTGTGTGTGTGTGTGTGTGTCTGTGTTCTGAGAGTAATAACGTGTGTGTGTGTGTGTGTGTGTGTGTGTGTGTGTGTGTGTGTGTGTGTGTGTGTGTGTGTTTTACAGGTTGGCTGCTTTACGCAACTGATGATCTTCAGATTCACTCAGTCTGTGCTGTTTGGACTTTATTAGAGGAGGATTTTTATAACAACTCCACACACACACACACACACACACTCCTGCGCTCCTCTTGTCTTCATGTTTGTTGTTTTTCTGGTTTTGCATATTTAATCTAAGCTGAGCTGCGGCGTTCCCCTCGCGCCCCTCACGCCTTACTGCTCCACACATCCAGTGCCTCCGCCACAGAGAGAGTGTGTGTGTGTGTGTGTGCGCGCGCATGTGTATGTGTGTGCGCGCATATTTTTGTGAGTATGTATGCGTGTGTGTGTGTGTACGCGCATATGTCTGTGTGTGTGTGCGTGTGTGCATGTGTGTGTGTGTGTGTGTTTGCACACATATTTTTGCGAGTATGTATGTGTGTGTGCGTGCGTGTATGTGTGTTTGCACACATATTTTTGCGAGTATGTATGTGTGTGCGTGTGTGTGTTGTGTTCAGCTCTGCTTCAGCTCTCCTGGTGTTTTCTTGTGCGCGTCCGTCATGTAGAGAGATGATCTCCGTCAGCGCTCAGTGATCCGCTGCTTCTGTTCTGTAAAGTAACTTTAGTTTAGAGGTGTATTTAGTTTATATGAGATTCTTGAGGAGCAGATTCAACACACACACACACACACACACACTGTGCTCGTTACAGTACAGAAGCGCAGCAGATACACTCGTCTGCGATGCTGAACGCCGCTGTGGAGATGCCTGAAGACAGAGAATGCTGAGATGATGTGGAGGACTCCTGCTGTGAACGTGGAGGCTGCTCTCCAGAACACACACACACACACTCATACTTTAAAATTGTGTGTGTGTGTGACTGAATGAAGTGCAGAATACACTTCTATGATCTGTTCTGTCTGTCTGATGTGTGTTTCTGTCATCAATCAATAAAACTGATCAGAGTTTTGGAGATGTGCTGTGCTGCAGTCTGTACTCTTCATCATTGTCATGTTGATGTGCTCTGATCATCATCATCATCATCATCAGTGAGATCAGCTCTGCTAAAGCTGCTTCTTTTTCAGTGTTCACCGGTATAATCGTTGATTTTAGATGTTATTTCTGTTCATTATTGGTCTGATCAGTGTCTCCTCCACCGGATGAGCGCTGTGTGTTCTGCTGATGGAGGTGATGTTAGACAGATGGCGCCATTTCGGCTGAGCAGCGGTTTATAAAATGCTGAAGTAATGAAATAAGATGATAACCGAGTCCAGCAGACAGAGCTCATCCAGTCTGACATCGTGTAGAGACGCAGCTGTCCGTCTCTGATTGCTGTTTCGAGCATTATTTTGACATGTAAACAGAAAGATGAAAGGCGCTGATGTGACCTGCCGGCTTCCGTAGGCTCGGCTTCCGTGTTTTCCGAAGAGTTCCACTGAGAGGAGAGGCGCTCACTGAGCTCCGCTATCAGGAGATGCTGACGGGGTTACTCCAGCAGGCGGCGCTAGTCAGCCCATGATGATTATTCATTTGTTCACTCTCTTTTAAACATCAGAGGATAGCGAGGCTGCTCTGTAGACATGTGTACAGTGAAATTATAATGATTTAAATGAAGTCATGTCAAAGATTAGTGGCTGAAACACGCATATAAACCCGCGTCTGGAGTCTCTGTGAAGTGATCTGTGCGCGCTCATCGATCTGTCAGCACAAACCGCTGTGATTGGTCCATCCGCGCCGCGCTGAGTGAAGACACTGCTGCCACGTGACCACACTTGCTGCTTCCGCTTGTCTTCAACAACAATCTAAGCAGTACACGTCATGTAAAGACCGACACTCACACACTCTGTCAGATGGCGGATTATAAACACGCGGAAATATGAGAATTACTCCATAAACCGGCGGCGAATGACCAATCAGCGCACGAAGCCCCGCCTACCTCGGATCCAGATTCCGCTCCGTTTCTCGTGTTTCTACTGGGAGTCGCCCGCAGTTCAGCCCGAGCCGCTCAGACCGGATTCACGAGCAAACATGACGAGCAGAGCTGAGGATTAACAGCAGTCTCTGACCTACAGCTGCGTTTCTGAGCAGCACCGCGGAGTCCAGAGCCATGAGATGATGGAGATCCTGACCTGAAGTGAGTCTGAGTGTGAATGAGCGGATCCGGATTGATCTGATGAGTGCAGGAGTGGAGCGGAGCGGCTGCTGGAGTCATGAAGACAGCACTGGTGTTCCTCTGTCTGCTGTTCCTCACCTGCGCTGGAGACCCGGATCACACTGAGCCCAGAACACTGCAGTACCTGCGCATCGGCGACGGCTCCGCTCGAGAGTTCCAGTTCCCCCAGAACACACGCGGCGTCATCGTGATCTCCAGCCAGTACCGCAGCTCCGGGGGCCGCAAGGGCCGAGACAGCCTGAAGCAGACTCTGCGGGTCCGGTCTCTAGATCCAGACGTCATCTCCATCCTGAACGTGAGCGACAGCGGGCCGCAGAGCAGCTACACCATCAGCATCCGCTCAGGGCTCCCGGGGACGGCACCGCTGCTTCTCCAGCTGCTGGAGCTGAGCCGGGACGCGGAGCCGCTGCTGATCGAGGAGCGCAGCGACTACTCCATCAGGGTGGAGGCCGCACCAGAACACATGGAGGCCGGCGGGCTGCAGCACTTCTCGGAGAACCCGGTGCTGTTCGCCCTGCTGCCGCTGATCTTCGTCAACAAGTGTGCGTTCGGCTGTAAGGTGGAGGTGGAGGTGCTGCTGGCGCTGCTGCGGAGGCCGGTGCCGCTGCTGCTGGGTGTCGCTGCGCAGTTCCTGCTGATGCCCCTCTACGCCTTCGCCCTGTCCCAGCTGGCGGCGCTGCCTACTGCGCTGGCGCTCGGCCTGGTCATCACCTGCTCGGCTCCGGGTGGTGGTGGTGGCTACCTGTACAGCCTGCTGCTGGGTGGAGACGTCACCCTCGCCATCTGCATGACCCTGGTGTCCACGGTGGTGGCGACCGCTGCCATGCCGCTGTCCTCCGCCTTGTACGGCCGGCTGCTGGGCGTCCACGCCGCGCTCCACGTGCCCTTCGTTAAGATCCTGGGCACGCTGCTGTTCATCGCCATCCCGATCTCGCTGGGGCTGCTGGTGAAGCTGCGAGTGCCCGCGGTGGCCAGCGTCCTGCTCGCCCTCATCCGCCCCTTCAGCTTCGTGCTGATCGTCGGCGGCATCTTCATGGCCTATCAGATGGGCTCCTCCATCCTGGCTCACGTGCGCGCCCCGATGGTGGTGGTGGGCGTGACGGTGCCGGTGTTCGGGCTGCTGGCGGGGCTGGCGCTGGCACGGCTGGCGGGGCTGGCGTCTCCTCAGAGGAGGACGGTGGGCATCGAGGTGGGCGTGCAGAACAGTCTCCTGGCGCTGGCCGTCATGCAGCTGTCCTTCCAGCGGGCGGAGGCCGACTACGCCTCTCAGGCGCCCTTCATCGTGGCGCTCAGCAGCACCTCCGAGATGCTCCTGCTGGTGCTGGCACACATCGCCCGCAGCCGCCTGTGCCCGCCGGCGCCCGCCACCCGCACCCTCAGCTGAGCGCCCGCCGGACACACTGACCAACACACTGCCATCGCCCAGGCCAACACCAAACGCCTTCGGACACTTGCACACGCTCGCAGAGATATACGCTCAACGACAGACCCATGTGCTGCACTACGGGACATTCTGATTGGCTGACGATGATCGGAGGCCAGAGGAGGAGAGCGGTGATGATGGAGGATCATGCAGGATACTGTGACGCGCATCCCTCCTCTGAGGAGTGTGAGCAGTGACATGAGGAATGGTCTCGTGATGTTCTCTACAGCACACACTCCTGTGATTACTGCCAGCGCTCTTCTGCTCCTGTACGGCCTTATTTCTTACACACTTTATTCTGTCCAACTGCTGAGAACGTCTCCAGAACATCTCCTGATCATCTCCTGATCATCTCCAGACACTGACCGGATCTGTCCTGAGCGCATATATTTTTGCAGTGTTGATCTTCTTTTGTAAATCAGAGTTTAATAAGCCAATCTTGTGTGTGTGTGTGTGTGTGTGTGTGTGTGTGTGTGTGTGTGTGTGTGTGCGCTACAGCCACAGTGTTGATCAGAGCTGATATTTTTCTAAGTGATTGTTCTTTTGTAATGGGTTTGTTTGTATCTTGTTTACAGATGTGTGTGTGTGTGTGTGTGTGTGTGTGTGTGTGTGTGTGTGTGTGTGTGTGTGTGTGTGCGGCTGATGTTGTGTACTCTCGATTGTTCAATGATGACGACTTGTGATTAAATGCTTTTGACATGACTAAAGCAGTGTGTGTGTGTGTGTGTGTGTGTTTGTGAACTTGTTTTTATGTCATGTCAGGACACAAATCTGTATAATGACACAGATATGACACAAAGGTGAATTATGAGGACATTGCTGACGTCCTCATTCCAGAAAAAGGGGCGGGGTAGCGGGGGGGTGGGGTTAGGGCAGTATAAAAACAATGGAACCCAATGTAATGTACCCACAATTCACAAAAACAAACGTGTGTGTGTGTGTGTATGTATGTGTGTGTGTGTTTGTGTGTGTCTGTGTGTGTGTGTGCGCGTGTGCGTGTGTGTGTGTGTTTGTGTGTGTGTGTATGTTTGTATGTGTGTGTGTGTTTGTGTGTGTGTGTGTGTGTGTGTGTGTTTGTATGTGTGTGTGTGTTTGTGTGTGTGTGTGTATGTGTATGTATGTGTGTGTGTGTGTGTGTGTGTGTGTGTGT